CGCGGACGGTCCCGAGGTAATATTGTTGACTTTTGTGTCGGGGCGGACGACCGCGTGGAACGTGAGTGAATTTACCGAGCTACTGTTGTAAACTCAGTTTAAGCGGTTGAAAATTATCCAGCTGTATTTTATCATCCCGGAAAGACATATTTTATTTGGATGCTAGCTGTTTAGAGTTGTTTTATAAGGAGCGTCATGAGCGTGGTTTTTGTCTTCCGTGTTTCTAAGCGTTATCGTTTTGGGGGAATTTCTCTTATATAGCTCGCTCTGTGTGGCTTATTTATAATTTTTATGCTGATTTCGATAATTCCTCGTGCCCATCCTACCAGGCCTTTTGCCACTTACACTCATCAAGAAAGGAAAAAACTAGATTTTCATTGGGACTAGGTGTTTTGAGGGTGTAACATATTCAGCGTTCCCATTTTTGGATACTTCCTTGTACTCGTCAACTATCGGTGATAAACAGACAGGTGCTTGACATGTCTCCACCCTCAGCGCGGACGGTGGATATAGGTATGGAAGACCTTGTTGAACATCGCTGAGCGTTGTGAATTACGTAATCCTGCAGAGGGGGGCGTGCCCGCTGCGAGATCGACGGGAATTAAAGCGCAGAAGACCGGGCGAAACATGCGACGGTCTTGCCGGAAAGGTCATCTGATGATTGTTGCGTTAACAATAATTTGCGGCGTTGGACGTGATGCTTGTTGATGAAAAGAGCCCCTGAAAGGCGTCGGTGAAATCGTTCCCAATTTTGGGTACGCCGTTCCCATAATAAGGAACGCTTGCAGCGCCAGTGTACGAGAGCGTTCCCAAATTTGGGCTCGCGGCCCGGATGATGGACTGCTTTAGAAATAGGGGAACGATTTGAAACTACGATGGGCCTTACAATATCAAACTCTTTCCCAACAATATTGAGACAAATATCAGGCGGTTCACGATCGTTTTATATTTTTTGGACGTCATTTAACGGTTCTTTTTCTTGTTTTAAATAATGCCTACATGGCGTTCCCATATTTGGGTTTATCGTTCCCAAACATGGGAACGAAAATGCGTTCCCGAAAATGGGTACGCTTGACCATAGTTCCGCCTACTGACACAACGACCACCATCCTTGAAACTGCACGTGCAACAACAATAACGCTCAAAGATATTCCGGCGTGCAAACAGCTGCGCCGAAATTGTAGCTCAGTCGTGCTTCCAAATCGACGTGGCACATCGCTGCCAGATCTTTTACTGGACGAGGAAGGCCTTTGAGTATGAAGCAAACTCTGGTGGATAAAATATGAACTAACAGAATCGTTTAATTGGCCGGGTTAGGGTAAATCTGGTTTAGGCTAACGTGCTCCAAAGTTAGTATAAACTCGGATCTGGGCTGTTCCTATCAAAATACACTAGTTTTAATTTATGCTATCCAAAAAGTTAGGGTAAATTAAAATAAATTGAAAATCGGGTTTAGGCTAACGAAAAGTTAGCCTAAACCCGTTTCACAAAAGCATGGAACTATGTTGCTGAAATCATAGCCAATGAGGCATTAAACAAATGGACCATCACAGAACGTAAGTGACATAAAAAAATTCAACCGTACAGTCTTCAAGGACAAATAATCCAATACGAGCAACACGGAAATATTTATTGTTTTGTGCTAGAAGTCACATCAAATCTTGAACTGACTAGGAGTTGATACGAGCGAGTTTCCGGCATCTTATCCGCTATATTATTGATATCCATTGATTGCTGGCTAAAGGGCAAAGCCAAAAATGATGTGTGAGTCTGCTAAAGAGACGGTGTCCAATACACGGAAATCGGATATTGGTGGTGACTGGTGGTACTGATAACGAGCGAGCGAGCGCAGCGAGCGAAGCGAGTCTTTTCAATATAACGGAAAAATCTCAGTATGAGCGGCCCGGCCCGGCCCGGCCTGTAACGCCTTTGAGAGGCTTATATCTCAGCAACCGCTGGACCGATTGGCCTGCGGTCTTTTTTCCTGGGTAGCCCCATCCCTTCTACCCCGTAATTAACTACTTTTGATACATCTCAGTGACCGTCGTGGCACGTGCCACGTGAAAAGTCAAGGGTGTTCAAGCAGTTTTGCAAAAGTAATGATTTTGAGAGGCCCATATCTCAGCAGCGGCTTGAGCGATTGTCTTGCGGTAATTTCTATAGGGTAGCTGCACCCCTTCTACCAAAGGTCGGATACTCTTGATCTATGTGAGTGGCGAGCGAGCGAGCGCAGCGAGCGAAGCGAGGTCTTTTCAATATAACGGAAAAATCTCAGTATGAGCGGCCCGGCCCGGCCCGGCCTGTAAACGCTTTTCAGAGGCTTATATCTCAGCAACCGCTGGACCGATTGGCCTGCGGTCTTCTTTGCTGGGTAGCCCCATCCCTTCTACCCTGTAATTGACTACTTCTGATGCATCTCAGTGACCGTCGTGGCATGTGCCACGTGAAAAGTCAAGGGTGTTCAAGCTGTTTTGAAAAAGTAGTGATTTTGAGAGGCTCATATCTCAGCAGCCGCTTGAGCGATTGTCTTGCGGTAATTTTTATAGTGTAGCTGCATCCCTTCTACCAAAGGTCGGATACCCTTGATCTATGTGAGTGACCCTCACTGCACGTGCAAAATACAAAAAGAAGAGGTGCCAAATTTGTTCCCATTTCAGTAACTCGGTAATTACTGGGGCGATTTCGCTGAAACTTGGCATACAGGTAGGCACCCACCAGGCAATGCATTCCCATGTGTTGCGGTTAGGGTGCTACTGCACGTGCGCACGTGCAGTGGGCGTTTCCAGATCTCGAGAGCGGCTGGGCCGATTGCGCTCAAATTTGGTACACGGTTGGGGACCGGTTAGTAGGGTGCCGTGCAAAAGTCAGTTTGGACCCCGTTTGCAGGTGCGCACGTGCAGAATGCCGCTTCCAGATCTCAGGAAAGGCTGGGCCGATTGCGTTCAAATTTGGCACACCGCTAGCGACCGGTTAGAAGCGTGCTTTGCACAAGCCCGTTGAAAGTACCCTATCGCCCTTCCGCACGTGCAGGGCTCACTATCTCGCTCGCTCGTTCTTCGCCCAAAAGGCGTTTTACTGGTTGGAAACATTCCAACTTCAATAAGGTAGACAGGAAAACAACAAGGAAAACCGGCGCGATGAAAGGCATTTCTTCAGGTAAGAATAGGGGACAAGAGGAATGGGTATGTAAAACAAAACTTTTGACTTGACGCTAATTGACAATGGATTGACTTCTAAGGGTGAGAAACAGACAATTCGGTTATACGATCAACGCCTAAGCCATGCCCATAAGTTGTTTAGTCTTTAGTCTTTAATCTGCAGTGAACATTCATCCTATTCTATGTAGTTCGCATTGAAATAAACCTGAATCGATCGATGACATTCATAAATATCATAAATGAATAAGTTATAACGCAACACTTAGGTCGTATCATGTAATCACTAAGGCGCCACGAGCCAGATAAAACCAGTAAAACGCCTTTTGGGCGAAGAACGAGCGAGCGAGATAGTGAGCCCTACACGTGCGGAAGGGCGAGAGGGTACTTCCAACGGGCTTGTGCAAAGCACCCTTCTAACCGGTCGCTAGCGGTATGCCAAATTTGAACGCAATCGGCCCAGCCTTTCCTGAGATCTGGAAGCGGCATTCTGCACGTGCGCACGTGCAAACGGGGTCCAAACTGACTTTTGCACGGCACCCTACTAACCGGTCCCCAACCGTGTACCAAATTTGAGCGCAGTCGGCCCAGCCGTTCTCGAGATCTGGAAACGCCCCCTGCACGTGCGCACGTGCAGTAGCACCCTAACTGCAACACATGGGAATGCATTGCCTGGTGGGTGCCTACCTGAATGTCAAGTTTCAGCGAAATCACCCCAGTAATTACCGAGTTACTGAAATGGGAACAAATTTGCACCTCTTCTTTTTGTATTTTGCACGTGCAGTGAGGGTCACTCACATAGATCAAGGGTATCCGACCTTTGGTAGAAGGGATGCAGCTACACTATAAAAATTACCGCAAGACAATCGCTCAAGCGGTTGCTGAGATATGAGCCTCTCAAAATCACTACTTTTTCAAAACAGCTTGAACACCCTTGACTTTTCACGTGGCACATGCCACGACGGTCACCGAGATGTATCAGAAGTAGTCAATTACGGGGTAGAAGGGATGGGGCTACCCAGCAAAAAAGACCGCAGGCCAATCGGTCCAGCGGTTGCTAAGATATAAGCCTCTCAAAAGCGTTACAGGCCGGGCCGGGCTGGGCCGGGCCGGGCCGGGCCGCTCATACTGAGATTTTTCCGTTATATTGAAAAGACTTCACTTCGCTCGCTGCGCTCGCTCGCTCGTAATAATAGACAAAGAGAATGACTCAAGTGGAAAGACTGGTGTGGAAAATGCGTACGTTCATGGTAAAGCATTACAAACACGACTGGGAACCATGTGCATTGTGCAATGAGCAGTGTGCAATGTTTGCATTGTGCACTGTGTGCAGATAGCGCACAAAGCGATTCTTAAACAAATTCTTGATGCAGCCTGACTCATCGGCAGCCATGATAGTTCGTTCGTCAGCAAAATCGCCCTGGCTAAATCGACAAACGTTTCAAAACAAAGCCAAAGGCAAAGCCATTGTCGGCGATGTCGGCTGTCTATACGAGCATTGATCACTTCACCAAGCTAGTTTTTCTTTTTCAGCAGCCCAAAACTTTTTCATCCTCGTGCATACTTCAAGAGCTAACACCTCATCAAAAGGTCGCGGCCAAGAGCTCCAATCCGGTAATTGGTCGATCCTCCTGATTTGACCTGACCACCCCTGACCTCAGACCTGACATAACCCTCAGCTAACTTTTCTGACCTAACGCAATTGACATGACCTGACCCGATCTGACTACAAGCACCTACAGCTCTAACCTTTCTGAGTTGTCCGACCTGACCTTTCTGGACCCTACCGACCCTACCCGATCCGACCCGACCCGACCTGACCAGACCTGACCTGACCTGACCCACCTGACAACCATCACGCTCCACAGATCACTCGTCGGACTCTCAGGTTCGGCCATCCCTCAAACTGTCTGTCTTGACTCTTGTAACAGCAACAATGCAACGATGAAGAGCTCAGCATTTACTTTACGCGGTCCAATCTCTCATACCAACAAAAAGTTTACGAGCTCAGCATTTACAGTGTCCACAGTGTTCTCTTGTGTCACTTTCTCACAGCAACACAATGTTTTCCCTCCCGTACGTAGCACGCGGTGTCAAACAAGGGTCGCCGCCCCCGGTCCCTTCGCCGGACCCCGAGGCGACAATCAGCTGACTGCCGCCAGGTGTGGTGGGGAGGGAGGAGGGGGAGGGTCGAGCCGTCAGCTGATCGGCGGGGAGAACGGCATGAGGGGAGACCACGGATTGACGGTATGTACAGACCATCAGACCCTCAGCCGACCCAGGGCCCTGTTTCACCGCCGCTGCCACCGCGCTGCCAGCGCATTTCGCGAGCTGACGTCATATTTAGTGGTAGTGTTGGAGATGCGAGTTTGTTGATGTCTCCATGGAAATCCAATTTTGACTTACGTGTGCTGGCAGCGCGCTAGCAGCGGCCGTGAAACAGGGCCCTGGATGAGTTGACGCCTGTGCGACGCTTTACATAAGCGGCGGGCTCTCGCAGTTCAGTGCTGGTGTAAATGATTTGCAGTCGTGTATGTATTGTTTCTCCATCAATGTGCGTTGGTTTGACCGTCAAAGACCACATGCCCCAGCAATGCCTTTTCAGCGTAACTTTTATTCGCTGCGTACCAATTGTGGTTCTGCTACTGGACGCGCACCTATTCCACTCATCCCAAAACTAGTATACGGATTTAAGCGCAATTTAGCAAGAACAAAGTCTGCCGAATCTATCTGAAGAGCACCGACTCAGGATTTACTGAACATCGTAACGGGGGTGAAAGTTCCCGAGGTCTGTGCCGCCGCGTCCGCGGGGCCGGGGGCAGTGGAATATTACTGGCACGCACAGTGACGGACCGCCGCGCGTGCCACTGGGTGCGTGTGAGGAGGCGTGGGGAGAGCACGGACAGGGGAGAGAGGGGGAGAGGGGGGAGAGAGGGGAGAGAGGGAGGCAGGGTCCAGGGGAGGGTCGGAGAGAGAGGATCGGGCGATGGAAATGTTGTTTGGACACCCACAGTAACTTATGGGTATTCCCCGTCTCCCAGGATTTCACAAAGAAAAAAGGGGTAAAAGCGTGGGCTCAGCGTGGTTATAAAAGGTCCTTTCTCTCAAGATTGCTTTTTTTATGAGCGCTAGCTACTCCAATGTAAGGTCATTAATAATGGTGCCGTGCCAATCTAAATTTGTTTTATGGTTTAATTCACCGAAAAAAAGTCTTCCTTGAGTAAGAAAGACGCCGCCTGATTGGCGCACATAAAAGGCGCTGGTCGCTGCTCACACCTAATCCATGGTGACTACAAGGGTACGGCGGCATAAATACAGCCGCATTCCTCGCCCTCCATCTGCAATGCTAAATCATACCCCCCCCCCCCCCTCCATAAGCGGAGCCTGAATTACATAAGGCGCCTGTTGACAAAGTCCGAGCCTGCGCTCTTTCACCGAAGAGAGCCTACCCAAACTCCTGCTGGTGCAGCCTAAACCATACACGTAACAAGTACACTCTGCACGTGCACCGCCTGCACGTGGCACGTGCAGAGTGCACGGCTCCCTCGCGGGGCCTAGCCCGGTAACGAAGACCAGCTATGCCAGACGCCTGCAATATATGCAAACATTGAGATCTGCCAGGGCGACGGCTCATGTCACTTGGCTCAGAGGTTTTCAGTGCCGATGGGGCGGCTGGTAAGCAGTGACGCACCTTCAATTAAGTGTGGGGGGGGGGGGCGGCACTGCCGACTTTTGGTTCCATTGTTTCCATGCAACGCCCATAGGGCTAATGTTAAAATGCCAAAATAAAAGGGGGCACGGTGCCCCGGTGCCCTCCCCCCTCCCCCGTTCCGCCGCCTATGCTGGTAAAGATAAGGAAAGTAAAAAACGTTCAACATTAGGAGCGTTGATCGCCATCTTCCTGCAAATATGAAAATGCGCTCCGTTGACAGCGCAAAAATAATATCATGTATCCCCCCATTTCACGAATGTAACCACAAACAACTAGTGCTGTGCCCGATCACCCTCTGAGCTTTGGCTCGTAAACAAGGTTGGGGTTTCCAGAAAATCAATTTGATCTGTGGCAGGAATCTTCCTGTTTACCTGTTTGTTCCGTGTTCAATTCATTCCGCATTGCAGCACCATAAATCTTTTTATCTCATCCAAAGAATAACAATTGTTGGCTGAACCAACGAACAAAATTCGTTGCTATATGGTCCAGCATTCACAACTCCACAAAACGATTCCTTCCTGAGCGTCGCAGTCTCTGGTGTTGGCGTCCTGTCATCGTCCAGCATTGCAGTTCCCATCCCGCGCTGTGTTTCTCACAAGCTTACCGAAGCAATGTTCAGTGGTCACGCACACGCGAAGGCATAGTTTACGATTTGACAGCATCACTTGTCGGAGTTTAATGACAACGTACTGACTTTTAGTGCCTCTAGCTTCACTGGACTCAAGTGACTAAATTCAATATAGAGGGATAAACTGATGGCCAATTGGAACATCCGCAGGAGGCTGACGGCTCCCGTTTAAGGAAATTACCAAATGACTGATGTAGTGCCGAAGCACTGAAGAACTAAAATCGCACATAACAATCAGTAACGTCAGTTCAGCTCAGACAAAAATGTCAAGCGGGCACTGCTGCTGACCAATAAAACAAATAACGGCGCCTGGAAGGGTCGATATTGGCGTTGAACCCCCACAAAGTTTGGCAAACTGAAAGGTTGCCAAGAGACGGGATGCTTGGTTTTAAACCACGAGGCTGTGAAAGAGACCATCGGGTTATAATCATCAGAGGGTCAGGAACTGTAGAGGATGGAAACAACATACAGAATATCGAATAATAGTCGATATTGCTTGCATAATGTAAATATTTTGATGCATGGAATAGGGCTGAATGTAATAAGACTGATTATTATGCAAGAAATGAATTTTAACCAAAATTTCCGGAGCACAACAGAAGCCAACCAAAACTCGTAGGATGACTTCACCTGGAACTCAAACGTGAAAGCAGATCGGTGTACGCAAACGCAGTTAAAATGTGAATTATTTAGTGTCTGACAAATTTTGACTTATTATGACGATATGAATACGTGGCAATATGAGTATGTAAGTTGTCAATACCAGCCATGCATTCCATAATGCCTAACATTGAACAGAACTCTAAACTCAGTTTGCAGTACTTTGCTATCGGAAGTGCCTTACCTGTTATTAAAATTGAGAAGCGACGAGGTCGGTTCGACGCCGGGGCTATTCATCTTAAAGTTGAAAATAATCGCAGCCCACAAGCCGACGACTCACATGCCAGAAATCAGAGCCTTTATAGGTACGCAATCACGTACCATCAATATGGAATAATCTATACTACTATTTGAACAGGATCCGTCTGTTTGTTTGTTTGTTTGTCCGCCACGCCGTGTAGTGGGTTCAATTTAGCCGGCCTACAGGGCAGACGGTATATCGTAGGGGGTTGAAATTTCCACACCTTATAGGTGACAGAGCGGGTCAGCGCCTTTTCTAGGTTCCGACTCGCTGGGGTGCACGGTTCGCGCGTGGCGGGCGCCGGAAGAACGCCAATGAAATTTTGATCGGTTCGTAGATCTTCATTGAGAGCCGGGGTCGACAAACTTTGTGAGCTAAATGCATGCCGATCGGCGGCGGGTGCCTCGCATTGGCGGATGGGCAAGTTTTAATTTGAATAAATAGTGGCGAAAATATGTGTTGATTTTCATTCCATGGGAACGGTTTGTGATACGAGTATACAAATGCACCGTGTTTGCCGCAATGCGCCACATTTGTCTCAGGGCGTCATTTTTGCCGCAAATCGCACAGTTTTGTCGAATATGGTTCGATATGGGTGCAATTTGGTGCAAAGATGCATGCTCAGTCACCGGGTGAAAATGCGCCGCGTTTGCCGGAATGCGCCACAATTATCTCAGGGCGTCATTTTTGCCGCAAATCGCACAGTTTTGTCAAATATGGTCCGATATGGGTGCACTTTGGTGCCAAGATACATGCTCAATCGCCGGGTGAAAATGCGCCGCGTTTGCCGCAATGCGCCACATATGCCACAAAGCGCCATTTCCGACAAATACGATTAAGCGTAATGGAATGGCACGAATAGGGGCAGGGCTGGGAACACTTTAAGTCTGATATTTTAGTACTGATTGGATCCAATTATTCTGTGACCTGACATGACCCGGCGGTGTTGGTAGGGGTAGGGGTAGGGGTAGTGGTAGGGGTAGGGTAGGGGTAGGGGTAGTGGTAGGGGTAGTAGTAGTGGTATGGGTAGTATTAGGGGTAGTGGTAGGGGTAGTGGTAGGGGTAGTGGTAGGGGTAGGAGTATGGGTAGTAGTAGTGGTAGGGGTAGGGGTAGATGTAGTGGTAGGGGTAGGGGTAGGGGTAGTGGTAGGGGTAGTGGTAGGGGCAGTGGTAGGGGTAGAGGTAGGGGTAGTGGTAGGGGTAGGGGTAGTGGTAGGGGTAGGGGTAGTGGTGGAGGCAAAAGCAGAACAGTGGCCCGGGCTGATCCCAGCTGGACGAGAGGTGACCTATGTGACCTGGCCTGACCCAACGTGACCGGGGCTGACCCCTTTGACCCGTATTGACCCCGTATCACCCAAATTTCATCCAACAACGCCCTCAGAACAGTTCTTTTTTAAATTCTCTTCACATTTCCGTCCATATCTATGCTTCTAGACGACACATCGATTTGAATCGAACACCATTCGAAAGCAAATTGGCTGGTGCCGCAATTTTTTCCTACCACGCAGCAAAGCAAGTGGCGCAGCCGCTTGTACAATCTATTTTGTAATAAGCATTCAATGTGGACGTTTTAAAGACACTGCTTGATCATCATTCAAGCATCGATAACTGCTTGCTTCAAATAGACTAAGAGTCACTATTCAGTAACCCAATCAATGGGTATGTTATGACGACCACAACAGAAGCGAGGACAATAATCCACCATAAGCACTTATCCTAAACTTTCTACAGCTTGCAGACTTCACCAGCATTACTCGCTGACCCGTTCTTGTTTCTCCTTTCCACAAATAACCGCCGAAGCCACAGGACACTACACCCTGAGGACCTGAGCACAGCTCTGGATCCCGCCGCCACCCTGACCAGCCCTCGGTCCGACACTGACAGGGAATTGCC